TTCACACCCTGCATTATTAAATTTTTATTCAATTTCAAAAATACCCATTTGTATTTCATTATTTGTTTAACCTGACCTTTATTTTTATTTCGTTCCTCTTTTTGATTTATCTTAAAAAATAAAAAATTCCCTCATGAAGAGGGTCTTCTCTCTTGCAAAGAAGAATATCAATTACAGGCAACCCTAACCATATTTCCCTTTTTTTTTCTTTTTTCTTTTTTTTTGTTTTGCCGAAGCAACCCTAACTAGGTTGAATTTGAGTTTTAATTACAATAACAATTATACCTAACTCTAATCATGTATCCCACCAAAAAAAACATAGACTTCAAAACCACCACTATATAATTCAGGCAATAACAATAATTAGGCATTTGAATAATTACATCAAGACCATTACTTCACTCAAAACCACAACATATGTACCGAGGTTCAAATTCATCGCTGCTCACATTCACATCTGCACATAAAAGGCTCATATAGATCTATTCCCAAAACTCAACCAATCTCACATGTGAACCCAAAACAACAAATGATGTGTTTCAAGCTAGTTGAGAAGACTTAAACAGCAGTCAGTCAAACAGCAAAAAACCGGGTTAAACAGACAGGAAAGCTACATCTGCCTGCCTTGAAAGAGAGCCATGATGACTTGACTGGTGCCCAATGACAGCTGAGAAGCGCAGGAATGGAGACTCAATTCTTTGATTTTGAATGCTTTACGAGCCAATCAATAACCGTATCAATGTTGGTTGAGTTCTTGCATGAAATCATGTAACAGCAAACTTCTCTATCAGTAATGGACTTCAGATCCCTGCAAAACAAAAGGCCATGACTGTAAGTTGAATCATACAACCATGAATAATATGTAGGTGACATAAATAAAAAAAGAAAAGAAAAGAGGGTTTCTTTCAGGCCTTTTCTTTCCTTCCAGCTGACACAACACTACTGAATGTTTGGATAATCTAGAAACTATCCTAGGATATCAAGATACTTTGCTTACATTTGTTCAGTGAGGTCCTGCTTACTTAATGCCCCTGGTTTGTCAATCTTGTTCCCCAGTACCAGCAAGGGAATACCATTCAGCGAGGGCTTACTTAACAGGTCGTGAAGTTCTCTTCTTGAGACAGGTAAGTTATCATTGTCAGCAGCATCCACAACATAACTGCACGTAGCAAAAATTGAATTAAAAATGGCTAGCCATCAGAGTCCAGTCAGTGAAAAGCAATCTATGTCTTAGCAGTACAAAGACATGAATGTTAGAAAAACATCTTATCTGAGACTACCTACTGTATGTGTATGAGAAAAATAGAAAGTCTCACTAATTTGAAGAAGATTGGCATTTAAGTCTCAATGTCCCAGAAATTAAGACAATAAATATACCAACTAACATATATAAAGAAAGGGGGCTACAAAATTATAAAATGAAGGTCAAAATAATATAAGCAGCCAGCAGCTATCTGTTTTTAGGGAATTCTCAACATCAGATCTGTTAAGATGAAGCCTCATAAACTCTCTTTTAACTAAAATACAAGATAGATGATGATAGATAACTTGTAGTGTTCTATTTTTTCTGATAATGGGTGATGTAGATAAGGAAGGAATATCTATATTACCTAGTATTCTATTAGAATTATGAGTACCTAGGAATTAATTTATGATACAATATAAACTGGTAAACTTAGGAATTCATAGAATTTCATATGCATATCATAAACAATATTTGCTTCTTGGTTGTGCAATGGTTATGGTTTTGGATTAATTCAGGGCCAGGGGTGTTTTTTTCGTATTTAATTATTTTTTCAGGTTCCAAGATCATCATATAAAGAGAAAAGAAAGTAGAGTCCGTAAATAGTGTTAAAGACATACACAATAGCTGAAACTGCACGGCAGTATCTCTCCCACATGCTGCGGAACCTTGGTTGACCTCCAAGATCCCATAATTTTATTGTTACATTCCCTTTAGTTACCTTCCTCATGTTAAAGCCTACCTGTAAACAGACAAGATACCTTTAAATTTTCCAAAGAAATAAACCAGAAAAAAAAAATGCTAGATGTAAATGGCAAGCTCAAGAATAAATGGTAGGGATCACATTTTTGCTGTATTACTTACTGTTGGGATCATGTCTTCACTATATCCACCAGTCTGGGAGGTAAGTTTCAGAAAAAGAAATTTGGCCATCAGTGCAAAAGTAAAGAGAAGTTGAAAAAAACAAAACATTGGACTATTAAAATTTTATTCACTGACCGCAACAACATTAACCAACGATGTTTTTCCGGCATTCTGAAGGCCTATCAACGATAACTCCATTTCTTGCTTGAAAAATAGACTACAAACAGGAGAAATATAAGGTTAAATTATGCATTCATATAATCCACTATTTGTTGGTCAGTAAAAATGAAAAAATGAATGCTAGCGTTAAGGCAAATAGACTTGCTTATAAAATCAAGAACATTTTCTTAAAATTAACTAACAGTCTATGTCTCAACTTTCAGCTGAACAACATCCAAAAAGAGGTAGCATATCCACTCTAGGAATGCATATATACACCATAAAAGATGATCCAAATACTGACATCAGGAGATATGCTAGAACATGAGGGGCTTTCCCTGAAAATATATACTAAGCTATACGCAGAGAAAAATAAAATGAAAAAACAAGGCAAATGTTTTCCCACACCACTTTTGTTGAAGATCAACTAGCGGAAAAGTTCAACACATTATTAACCAATCTTTATAGGTCCATCAAAACTATCTAGGCTAGAGTTGACACATCATCTATGCACCTTCATAAAGCAAAGGAACAAGACAAAATCTTTCCCCTTTTACTGCCTAATCATAAGCTTAAAATTACGTCTCTCTTTTCAGTGCAAACTAGAGCATGATAAGAGTTTAATAAAATTAAATTTTCATTTTACATGTTAATGATTATCCCAATAATGATTTTACAAACAGTTAACATCAGCAGAATCAAAGCTCCTGCAATGGCCCCACTGCCACCATCTTGCCACTTGCCAGTGCTACCCCATGGAGTACAACTTCACAACCACAACCACAACATTCATAACATTCTAGTGCACAAAAAATTACCAAAAAACACCAACAAATCAACAGTTCTGAGTTCTCTACTTTAATCTTATAGAGTAGAGACTAAAAGGTTCTCATAAGAAAATAGGAAAAGGAAACAAAAAAGCAAACTTCTCTCTCTAATACAACTTTTCTACTCTTCACCCTGGTTTCCTCAAATCAAACCATTTCAGCTTTGTTGCTTTAGTTCTTAATCCCAAATACCTTTATATAGCTGCTCGGATATGGACTAAATGAGAAACAGAAAAAAGGGAAGGGACTCCTCATTCAATCAGATTTCAGCAAGTTCCCCAATCAAGAAGATTTTCAAGCACCAAAACAAAACTTTCCCCTAACATAACAGCCCTGCTTTCAGCTCTATATGCTCCCCACAGAATACCAGACACACCGAATGTCATGGATTCAGAACATAACATCTTCAGAAGACCCCATCTCAGCATTCAATCTAAAGATGATGTTAGAAGTATCCACCACAAAATAATTCTCTATATCTTAAACGAGCAATAAATTGGAAATATTAGCTAAATAAATCCTAAGAAATAAAATTTTTAACCCTGAATATCCTGAGCACCCCAAATGTACCCCTTCCCTCCACCAAACAAAAAGAAAAAGAAAAAGGGAATCCAAAAGAATCAGGAAAAAAAAAAAAAAAAGACTCAAAAAGGCATTTATTCAATATATTCTCAGGCTAAAAATCAAATTTTTACTATCAAATTGATGAAACTCGAAAAGCAAAATGCAAAATTCAGTAAAAAAATGTAAAGGGCAATGAATTTCTCCTCTCCAAGAACATGGAATCAGAAAGGGTAACCATCGAAACTTCAATCCGTTTTTCCTTCCTTATTTTCTCTCATTTTCTCACCAACCAAACAAGGAAAAGAGCTTACCTCCGAAGCCAATTGAGAAAAGCATCCCATAGCCCCATTCTGACACCGGAAAACACAGAAATTCAGGTTTTCGATTCCGAGCAAATCCGATCGGAGATAAAAAGCGAGAACCTTTTTTAGTGGTTCCTTTCCTTTATATAATGATTGAATGGAATTCCCTCGCTATTTAAATTACTAATTAATGAATTGATAATATTTTTTTTTTTATAATTTTTCTTTCATTCACGCGCCTGTGAGGGGAGAGGAATATGTATGCCAATAATTAGCCCCGTTTCGTGTACTTGTTGGCCCTTTATTGGTGCGTGGGTTTCACGTGAAAGGAGTGGAAATGGAATATGAAGAGATTAAACGACGCAGTTCGTGCTTTCCTCCGCTTCAATCTTCAATCCAGCTCTTTAATCGCAATCTCCAGGTTGTTTCTTATTAGGTGCATGAC